GTTCCCGGGAGCCCTTTCCGTGCCCCCGTCCCTTCGCTAATGATCCCTTTGAGTTCTCCTTTCCCCTCCCGGTTAACCCAAGACTTGTACAGCTGTTCCCCAGCTGCTGACTTCCCCAGCGCCGCCAAATCTTTCAGGGGGTGTCAGTTTAGGAAGGAGGGGGGTGAAATATCTATATCTTCCTTTTTTCCCATCCTCTTTGTCCCCCTGCGACGCTGTGTTTATTTAGCTACGCGCCCGTATCCTGCTCCCTTCCTGCCTTCTCCTTCTTTCTGGCCATTTATTTATTTGTCTCCAACGCCGAAACCCGCCGGTCGCTCGGAAATGCGGCGCATTGCCTTTGAAAAGGGGGAAAAACCCCAAACCCAACCGCTTTGTACAGCGGGATTTTTTAATTTCGGTCATTTTTCCTTATTTTCGGTCACGTTTGGGTTTTTTGCCTTCGCTCCGCTCCTTGGTGGGTGCTTTTTATCATTAAACCCCCCCCCCGGCCCCCCCCCCCCGGCCTGGCGGTTAAGCCCTTCGGAGGACAAAGCGAGGAGGAAACGGCAATTTGGCCTCATCCCTTCGCTGTTACGCACCGCCAGGCACATAGACAGGTCGGTACGGAGAGGGACGGGGAGCAATCGCCCCCCCAAACCCCCTCCCAGATAACATTTTCCCATTAATTCGAAGCAGCTGGACCTCGGCTCTCGGCTGCGCGCCGTAACCCCCAAATTGCTTTAATTAGGAAACAGCCAAAAATCAAAACCGAAAGTCCGGAAAAGGCCGCGCCAGGGGCTGGTTCGGGGGGTGCGGAGCCCCGGGTGGGTCCGCAGGGATGGGGACCCTGTACCCCACTCCACCGGGATGTGATGGTTAATGGGCTGGGAAGGAGGATCCATCCCGAAGGAGGCGATTTCCCCCCTTGCCGGCCCCGAGCGCTGCGCCGTGCCCAAGGCCCGGCCGTGGGCCTGATCCTGCCCTTCCGAGGGGGCCGGTGGTCTCCACCTGCAGCAAGGCCAAGTCTCTGGAGATGGTGCTTGGGGTGGGAGTGAAATTAGGGCAAAACCCAGCATTTTCAGGTCATCTCCTTCCTGGGTGAAGTCCCTGTGTCCCCCCAGCTCCTGGGGTCTCCAAGCTGTCCCCACCATCCACTAAGTGTGGTCCCCCCCCCATTCTCCCTTTGCCGGTTCAGCTCCTCGGGGTCCCAGCAGCACCCGGCATCGGCTGGAGCCACTGAGCTCCACATGTCCCCACGCAGGGACAAACAACCCTCCCGGGGGACAAAGGTGACCTCCGAAACGCATGGCAGTGACTTATCTCCTTGAACCCATTTCATGAGACGTCCCAGAGACGTCGCAACAGTGAGGGGAAGGGGGGAACCCCCAAATACTTTGCGCTCTGGCCCCCCGGCCCCGTGGGGGGGTGGGGAAGGGGAGCTCTTCTCGAGCAAAAAACGGCGGTTTTATTTTTCACTCCTTTCCAAATGGTTTCCTGAGAGTTACAGCTACAGGGAAATGCTGGCCCGGGGGCAGGCAGAGGCTCCCCTTGAACCGAGCTCAAGCGCGGGGGTCTGGATACGGCCCAGCGCCGGGGCGGGCTGGGGTTACTGGTGGATCCGATATCTCTGCCCCGGGCGCAGCCGAGCAGGGCGGAGGCGTCAGCCCGTGCTGGAAGGGAGCGGGAGGAGAGGGACGAGGAGAGCTGAGCAAAACCCTGTCTGCAACATGATCCCGTCCTCGCCTTCTCTGTCCCCCCTCGCCCACCCCGCATCCCTTGGTAGCAGCATCCAAGAGAGTCCCCAGGCAGAAGCCCCAGCTGCGGGTCCCCAAGCACCCACCGCTCCAGCCAGGCTTCCCTCCCACACCTTCAGGGAGCAGCACCAGCCCACAGCTCCCCTGGGGAGCGGAGATTTTGCCCTCCCCAGTGATGGATTTGACCTGCTGTGTGCCTGTGCCGAGCCCCTTTCTCCTGGGACTGTACCCCCACATCCCCCTGGGGTGACTGTGCCTGGGGGCCTTGGGTCCTGCAGGGACAGGAGGGCAGGTTTGGGGCTGCGGGCACGGAGGGCTCTTGGCTTCATTAAGACCATTAACCCCACTCCATCTTGTGCCTCTCCCCCTGCCAGGCGGCGAGAAGGGATGCAAAGGCAGGTACCAGGCGGTGCCCGCAGCCTGCCGGGCCCCCCTGAAAGCCCCAGGGGAGCTGGGGTGCCCGCTGGCAGCACCCCTGGGCAGCCTATGGGAGCACGGGGTCCCCGAGCTCCCCGATCCCCTGGGAACGAGCAAGAGCAAGAGCAAGAAGCGGAGGAACAGGACGACCTTCAGCACCTTCCAGCTGGAGGAGCTGGAGAAGGTCTTCCAGAAGACGCATTACCCCGACGTCTACGCCCGCGAGCAGCTGGCACTGCGGACGGACCTGACCGAAGCCAGGGTGCAGGTACGGGCAGGGGTCCCTGGCTCCCGTAGGGATGGGCACGGCCGCCCCGGGTGGTGCTGGGCGGAGTTGGAGGATGCTTTCCCTTCCTCCGCAGGGTGATGCTGAGTTAGAAGCTGTTGTTCCCAGGAGGGTTATGCTAAGCCCCAGAGGGGAAATCCCAGCCCAAGCGCTCGCTTCACCCACCGCCACGGGGTGCGGGTGCCGGTTGCCTCTCCGAGCTCTCTCCAGTTCTCCCCTTGTCCCCTCTCTGCAACACCCAGGGGGTGGGAGGAGCCAAAATTTGGGAGGTCATTGCCAACCTCTCCCCCCGCAGCATCCCCCAACGTGATCCCCCCCCGTGCATCCATCATTCCCAGCCTCCCCCAACTCAGCTCCCTCCAGCCCAGGACTAGCAGCGATGGAGCTGCCATCCCAGGAGAGGGGTCCCCGGGGACTCAGCGCGGATGGGGCTGGGGGCGGTGCATCCCAGGACGTGGGGCAGGATGAGGCCCTCCCTCCTCTGCCCCAGCTCCTCTGGCATCATGCCTGCGTCAGGGCAGCGAGCTCCTTCCAGAGGCGTCTCCGTGTGGTTTGAGGCTCCCGGCGGGAAGAGGCGCTTGGAGGGGGCACCTGGCGGGGAGGAAAGCGAAGGCGGGTGGTTAACGAAGCGAGCAGGGAGCACCCATGGGGTGCAGGGTGCCTTGAGCCACCGAGTCCTGGGTGCTGCCCTCCCCGTGGGACAGGAGCTAGGGACAAGGCACAGGCAGGGGACGCGCACCCCGAGCCTGCAAGCATCCCACACCCGCCGTGGCCTCCGAGCCATCTCCGAGCCCTGATTTGGGGTGGATTTAGATGAAATTACCTGTAACCGTGAGAGCCGCCTGGTGAGCATCCCGGTACCACCTCCTCCGCTCCGGGAGATGCTGCTGGAGCTGTCATCGCCCAGCCAGCTCCGGTCCCCAGCCCCAGCCAGCAGCATGGAGGGGACGTGCGGGTGGGTCATCGTGACCACGCAGGACCCGAAGAGCCTCATCCTGCATCAAAACCTGGGGTAAACGAAGCCCAGAAGCACAAGGGAGAGAAAAGGACCGTGCACGGAGCAGGACTGCTTATTTTCCAAGAGGGATAAGAGAGATTTCTGCTCTTGGTAGAGAAAAAGGCTGGTGAGCTGAAACAGGGCTGTGCACCAGGGCAGCTTTCTCTGTTCATCTCCAGTTTACTGGGATGCTGGGGCATCGTCTTAGGGCTCTTTTCCTGCCGGGAAGATGAGCGTGGATCGGGGCAGAGGGCTGCCCATCTCGTCCCGGGCGGGCAGGGGTCCCCCTGGGCCTCAGCCCCCTTCTCCATCCCCCAGGTCTGGTTCCAGAACCGACGGGCCAAGTGGCGGAAACGGGAACGTTACGGGAAAATCCAGGAGGTGAGAGACGATGCCGCAGCTCCCTGCCCCAACCCTGTGCCCCAGGCCCCCCCCCCCCCAGGGCAGGGGTCCCATCCCTGTGCACCCAGGGTCCTCGCGGGGTGACCCACATCACCCATTTTTGCCCCTTCTCTCCCACGGGCCCTGCAGTTCCATCCACCTTTGGGAAAAGCACGTGGCCCCCTTCGGGGAAAAGGGGGAAAGACGCGGCATCACGTTTTGCCACACGCAGGAAGATGCTGCTTTATGTCCCCCTCCATCTCCCGTGGGAACGTGCCCTTTGGGGCAGGTTTTTGGGGTCCTCCCCCCCACAAAGAAACCCCTTTAGCTGCCCCACATCCATCAGTGCTTCCTGCCCCCCTTTTCTGCAAAACTGCCGCCTTTTTCCACGTTGAGAAACGTAAAAATAATTGAAAACTCGGCTTCACGTGCACCCCTGATGCCGAACTCTCCCACGGCCGCCCTGCACGGGCTGGGGGGCAGAGGAAGATTTCAATCAATCAGGATTCAACACAAGCACACACACACACCCCCCGGGAATTAAAATAAAGCAAAGGCATCCATCGCTTTGCACCTTGTGGGTGGGTGGGATCCAAGGGGGGGGGTGATGTGGTCCCCACCCACATCTGGCCTCCCCCCGCTTCACTTTTGGCTTTTATTTTGTTTCTTTTTGGTTCTTTCTTCCAGCTGCAGAACAACCTGTGGCCCTGCTCTGGCCCCGGGAGCCCTGCGGGGCTCCTGTCCCCCGAGAGCATCCTTTCCCCCTGCATGACTTCGTACCCCCACGCTCACAGCAACATCGCCGGCTTCATGGGCATCCCCGCTTCTCCCGGCCCCCAGC